ATTTTGGCGAAAGTCGACTTTCCCCTGGGAAAAACGGAAAATCTGACCCTTTGAAAATCGGAAAAAAAAACTTCTTCAGTTTTCACTTTTTCCACATACTTTTGAGAGTTGTGAATAACCCGTCGCTTAAATAGTTAGAATCAATTACCCGAGTCGAGGATTTGGTTTTGATTGGACGTAAACAGGTCTTTCAAGATCTCTCCAGACCTAGATGGACCTGGTAAGTCCTAATCAGTTCTACGACGTACTTTTCCAGAGACCTTTCGAATCCTCAGTTCCTTTCGGTCCTGAGAAGTCCTCCTCGATGCTACCGAGAACGCGTGATTTTACGAGCGGGTGAAGGGGAAGGCATGTATGCGGAGGGTTGAAATTTGTAGCCAACGAGGAGACAGGGTTGCAGAATATATTTTAGCCACCCTCATCTCCCCGTTTAGAGGCGTTCTTTAAATAAAAAATAGTGAACGTTGATTCTGTATTTATTGACCCCCTGATGTCAATGAAACCCTCGGAGGTGACAGAAAAGGGGAAAAAGAATTTCTTTTTCACGTGGGTCAAGGGTGAAAGTCGAGTTTCGCCAAAATTGAATTTTCTAGCCGGGTGAACGTTGATTTCAACTATTTAAGCGCCGGGCTAGGCAGAACTGTCAAAAGTATGTGGAAAAAGTGAAAACTGAGAAACCATTTTTTTTGCCCCAGCCAAAGGATCAGATTTTCGGGTTTTCCGGGGCAAGTGGATTTTCGCCAAAATCGATTTTTTTAGCCGGGTGAACGTTGATTTCAACTATTTAAGCGCCGGGCTAGGCAGAACTGTCAAAAGTATGTGGAAAAAGTGAAAACTGAGAAACCATTTTTTTTGCCCCAGCCAAAGGATCAGATTTTCGGGTTTTCCGGGGCAAGTGGATTTTTGCCAAAATCGATTTTTTTAGCCGGGTGAAAGTTGATTCCAACTATTTAAGCGACGGGCTATTCAGAACTATCAAAAGTATGTGGAAAAAGTGAAAACTGAGAAACCGTTTTTTTTGGCCCCAGCCAAAGGGTCAGATTTTCGGGTTTTCCGGGGCAAGTGGATTTTCGCCAAAATCGATTTTTTTAGCCGGGAGAACGTTGATTCCAACTATTTAAGCGCCGGGCTAGTCAGAACTGTCAAAAGTAAGTGGAAAAAGTGAAAACTGAGAAACCGTTTTTTTTGGCCCCAGCCAAAGGGTCAGATTTTCGGGTTTTCCGGGGCAAGTGGATTTTCGCCAAAATCGATTTTTTTAGCCGGGAGAACGTTGATTCCAACTATTTAAGCGCCGGGCTAGTCAGAACTGTCAAAAGTAAGTGGAAAAAGTGAAAACTGAGAAACCGTTTTTTTTGGCCCCAGCCAAAGGGTCAGATTTTCGGGTTTTCCGGGGCAAGTGGATTTTCGCCAAAATCGATTTTTTTAGCCGGGAGAACGTTGATTCCAACTATTTAAGCGCCGGGCTAGTCAGAACTGTCAAAAGTAAGTGGAAAAAGTGAAAACTGAGAAACCGTTTTTTTTGGCCCCAGCCAAAGGGTCAGATTTTCGGGTTTTCCGGGGCAAGTGGATTTTCGCCAAAATCGATTTTTTTAGCCGGGAGAACGTTGATTCCAACTATTTAAGCGCCGGGCTAGTCAGAACTGTCAAAAGTAAGTGGAAAAAGTGAAAACTGAGAAACCGTTTTTTTTGGCCCCAGCCAAAGGGTCAGATTTTCGGGTTTTCCGGGGCAAGTGGATTTTCGCCAAAATCGATTTTTTTAGCCGGGAGAACGTTGATTCCAACTATTTAAGCGATGGGCTACTCAGAACTCTCAAAAGTATGTGGAAGAAGTGTAAACTGAAAGCACCTGACCCTTTGAAAATTTGAAAAAAAAAAACTTTCAGTTTTCATTTTTTCCACATACTTTTGAGAGTTCTGAATAACCCATCGCTTAAATAGTTGGAATCAACGTTCACCCGGCTAAAAAAATCGATTTTGGCGAAAATCCACTTGCCCCGGAAAACCCGAAAATCTGGCCCTTTGGCTGAGGCCAAAAAAAACGGTTTCTCAGTTTTCACTTTTTCCACATACTTTTGAGAGTTCTGAATAACCCATCGCTTAAATAGTTGAAATCAACGTTCACTCTGCTAAAAAATTCAATTTTGGCGAAAGTCGACATTCCCCCTGGAAAAATCCAAGATCTGACCTTTGACCCTCGTGACCCTTGTGACCCTTTGACCAACTTTCCCTCTGCAAAAATCCAAGATCTGACCCTTTGGCTCCGAGTGAAAAAAATTTTGTTTTCAGTTTTCACTTTTTCCACATACTTTTGAGAGTTCTGAATAGCCCGTCGCTTAAATAGTTGGAATCAACGTTCAACCGGCTAAAAAATTCGATTTTGGCGAAAGTCGACTTTCCTCCGGGAAAAACGGAAAATCTGACCCTTTGGACTCCGGGTGAAAAAAAAAAATTTATTTAGACATTTGTTGCGCCTTTGGGGGTTTCATTGGCATCAGAATCGTTATAAAACACAGAATCAACCTTCACTTGGCGAAAAAATTCAATTTTGGCGAAAATCGACTTTCACCCTGACCCTTGATCCACGTGAAAATGAAAATTTTTTTTTCGCCTTTTCTGTCACCTCCGAGGGTTTCATTGGCATCAGGGAGTCAATAAATACAGAATCAACGTTCACTATTTTTTATTTAAACACCGCCTGCAAACGGGGAGATGAGGGTGGCTAAAATATATTCTGCAACCCTGTCTCCTCGTTGGCTACAAATTTCAACCCTCCGCCTACATGCCTTCCCCTCCATACCCGCTCAACATAGAGGACTTCTCAGGACTGAAAAGAACTGAGGATTCCAAAGGTCTCCGGAAAAGTACGTCGCAGAACTGATTAGGACTGTGTACCTCCAATCAAAACCAAATCCTCGACGCGGATATAAAACTTGAACAGTTGAGCTCTTCAGCTCTTAGTTGAGTTTTCGGGAAATATCTCCGAACCCAAGGGAGATAACGAAATTTTCATAATAATTTTTTTTGCAGCGCTCAATTCGTTCCACAAAAACGGTATTAACAAAAATTTTGCCATCTCCCTTAGATTCCGAGATATTCATTAAAAACTGGCCCATAGTCAAAATCGAGTTAAACTGTTTTACCGCTTCGCTATTAATTTGAAGTCACATTACCTAATTCAGCAGAAAATTTAGCAATCAAAGCTTGATATACCGATAACCCCATCAAGGCAGATGTATAATTAACTTCAAACAGTGCAAAATTACGAAAAACTCCCAATTTATTAAACTTTTCTTCGTCATTCCGTAATGTCACACAGAATGTCATTCGTAGCGGGTCTATGCCACGTGAATTATTCAACCGTTGCTCTAAATTTATCCAGCTGTAACTAAAGGTTCACTCAGGAGGACTGGTAGCACTGCGGGAATTTCTACTCTCCGGAAAAATCTCTGAATTATGAATATGCCTACCTTGAGATTGTGATAGAATAACGTCAAACCAATGGAGAGAGACAGGAAGAGGAGAAAAAGTAGAAAGCTCGATGTCTGGGATATGCCAAGTGTATTGAATATTGTCGCGAGAATAACAGCCACAGCGTGTGAAAATGCTATCGGTAATATACACCTCTCCAAGAGTTCCCACGTCTGACTATCGTCGGGCTCTTCATTCGTTTTCGAAGGCATTCTTCAACTCGCGAGAAGAATAACTCAATTCGTTTCGTTTTGTTATTAAAAAAATATGATTTATCCCCTCGATAATTCGATTGTTCGATTGAGACATTCGCCGATTTACAACGCGATCAAACTATAATCACGTCTTAGCTAGGACTGAGCTAACTTTAAACTGGAAATAGTCTCTCATATTGGATGCCGTGTACCTAAATATAAACGCAGGGATGAGTCTTTAGATTTTGGTGTCCCCTGGTTTACTTCAAGATTTCCCAATTGTTCAAATAACTTGACAGTGACAATATCATTTCCCAAAGTGAGAAATGAATGATCTGAACCTTCAGTCTCTTGATAATTCACGTTCAAATTGGTATTACCCAGTTCTCCCTATTCATTTTGATACAGAAATTCTATCAATATAACTGACACATTGAAAAATAGACTAAACTTTAACGCAAATGCATTTTCCTGCTCTCCCTTCATCTAATTTTAAACTTGAAGAAGAAATAATAAAGATTCATGGGCACCTGATTCGAGTCTAATTAATTTACGATCCTAGCCGTAATGCAAGAACAGTGAATAAAGACAATAATCGATAATCCAATACCAAATGCCTCTAAATCGCAGACCTCAGTGAGCGAAAAAAAATCATAAAGGTAAACAGACACATTCGGCTCCCCTAATTAATCATATCCGTCAATTATAAACCGGGAGACAATCATCAAATAATCAACAAACACGACAAACCCTTTAGCTAATTTTAAAAAAATCCAGAATGAAGCTTTCGATGCGAAAGACCAACAACACATTAATATCATCCAATTAGCATGCAAACCACGCTAACCGCCGAGCAAGGGCAATATCAATTGAGCCAACAATCAATAGCCCAATCTGAGCGCGGCTGACGAGGTGTTAGCAAATTACAAAATGGGATCATTAGAAGAATGAGTTGTCGAGTCGAGTGGAGGAGGACAATAACGAGAGCGGTTATTAAAAACTACCCTTGAGCATTTTACAGTGGCCCTCCCTCCCCCTCTCTCCTACTCGCCAAATTGATGATGCACGACGGATCTCCACCATAGACTCCCTAAATATAAAATGAAGAGGAGTAAATTGGGGCTGCAATTGAACTGAGAGGCTAAAACTGCCCCAGTCATGGATTCAAAAACTGGAAAAATAAAAATAAACTCGCGAGATAAAGAAGCGAGGAGAGGGAGGGATGGGACACAGGAGTGGGGTAGGTTATTGATTTTGCAGAGGGTGGAGTTTGTGTTGGGGTAGGGGTGGAGGATTCTCATAGTAGTGGGGGCAGGTGGTGGCTGTGTGCTATATATGCGCGTCGTCGAGTCTGCCGTGGGTATAAATAGGAAGGGTGGTTGCACCATTGACCCAGTGCTAGTTGGATTATTGCACGACTGGGTGGGTGGTCGGTAGTCTTCACTCCGAGCACTGCACTCTGACACAAAGTTTATCCTTCCGATGATTTTTTGTCGAATTAGTTTGTAAACAAACTGATGATTGGTGGGGGGAATTTTTTTGGCTGTTGTCGGAGCGTTGAGGGGAGATCATTAGAAATTGTCTTGAAACTTTTATTCAGATCCTTTCGTTTTGTGGAAGAAGTTTTTAGTCGGATGAAAGTACAATCGTAGACACTGCCCACATTGGACCCTATCGAAACCTTCGAAATTATTTCTATTTTATTGGAGATTTCAATTGACTTGGGGTGATTGGTTGAATGGGAAAGTTTGGGATAATCCAGTGGTCCTGAAGTATTGAATAAGTGATTGGACGACTTTTGTGTCAACGAACTCGGAGGAGAACTGAGAAAGGGAGTCCTTACGCCCTCCCTTCCTCGTGCGTTGGGGGTCATCGAGTCGTGAGTTGAGTTGTAATGGTCATTCGTAGAAAAACGAAGAATGAGGATAATCTAGAGCATTGAATTAATCCGGGAAATTTGCCTGTCTGTATGAGAACGTAATTCGCACTTGACCCGAAATTTCAAAAGTTTCAATTGAGTTTTTCATCAGGATAAACATGTCGGAGTCCACAGCGGTGACTCCATCCACGGGAAATCCGTACAAAATTGTTGACTGCAGTAGAGAAAAGAGGAAAGGAATTACTGCCTCTTCACTCGAGGACCTCACCAACGTGGCTAGAAGCAGATTGGCACTGGCCTCAGATGCTGATCTCACTATTGTGTTGGAGCAAGATGGTAAGTCTTCTATTTTATAACTTTGAGGTGCACCGCTACAATGTTAATTCGACGTTTGAAATTCATTGAGCGTGCTTCGAATATGAATGGAGTTGGGTTGAAGTTGAAATTGGAAACAGCCAACGGAGTTGATTGAATTGTGACATAAAAGGAATTCATAATAATTGAATTGGGCTTTTATCTCGGGCATAAGTGGTTTTAGCAAAAATTTCACTCTTTTTGGGGCTGATGAATACGTTTTTTCATGTTCTCTTCGGAATGAGTTATTATGGCGATTATACAACAATGAGCAAGGAATTTTACCACTTTATTGTGAAATTGAATGATGGAAATGTTTAAGTAATTCTCAAACGCTAGATGAGAAAAATGAAATAGATAAATACGAATCGAAAGTAATTGATAGAAGCGATGCAACGAACATTACGAAGACATTGCTATAGAAACTACGCCCCGAATTCATTAAACCGAGAAGCCAGAATTTTTTTTGCCCACAAATGAGCAATGGAGAAGGTTTTGAGTAATCCACGAACTCATGATATGAAAAAAATGAATAAATAAATAAATAGATAAAACGGTCTTTCGACATTTTCCAAGGGAAAATGTCGATTTTCCTTATGGCGATAATTAAACATTTAGTAAGTCATTTAAACACTCAAATTACGTAATAGAAATGCTGAAGTAATGCTGAAAAACGCGAGTAAAAATGTAGGTAATTATTAAAAAAGTGGTAATATTTTGCAGGCACCGAGGTAGATGACGAGGAGTATTTTGCAACACTCGAGAGAAACACAAGCCTGATGGTACTCCAGGGAGATGAAAAGTGGGCAGCTCCAGGCAGCAGTAAGACTGCCTCACGTTACATAGTCGTTGACAATGTTGATAACGCTGGTAGAACGATCGATGAGACTGTGCGACGTTATCGAAGCCCAGTTGAGCCACTGGTGTCAACATTACACGGTGATCCATCACACATTTCCCTCCTCGGTGGTAATGATCTCGAGTTACTGAGCGACATGAATCCAGACAGTCTAGCTGATATAGTGCCAGACAGGCTGTTCTTGGAGCAGTTGAAGGAGGCATCGGGAAGATTTTTGGCGGAGAAACGACAGGCACAGGAGTCAATGGCACTCCTTCAAATGTACGCAACTGGAGGTGAAATGGAGCGAGCGTAGGCCATGTGGGGGGTGGGCGCCCTCACACTGGCGAACATGTATAGCGTCCGACGTCGAATCTTCTACAGAGGACGACAGTTGCAGCAAACTCTGATTCTCTTCTGGAATTGAGCCCATTTTATTTTGAATTACGACTGAATACAACGGGGATTATTATTTTCCGACGATAACAACACTCTCGAGGTTCAGTCGTCAATTGATTCCATGGATTTTGTATCTTCAGGAAAGGTAATGATGGATATTGTTATTGATCTGTTTGCTATGGAATTCAGGATGCACGAGGCAAAATGGTAAACTGTAAATTGTGAGTGATTATTTGTACAACTTAATCACCAATTTGTCTCTATTAACTAATCGTCGAGTCGAGTGTAAATACGACTCTGTTAGATGTTCGATGAAAAAATCTATAACTTTAAGGAAATCATTCAGAGAAAAATTTCACTTGTTTCCTCAAACTTGTTAAAATTTGCCTCGAAAAAAATGAATTCATGCTCAGATAGTGATTAAAATTACTCCGTTACATTGACCTCCGGTTGAGGGAGAAAATCTATCGAACTTGATTCACTTGAAATTTTTCTCTGAATGTGATGAATCAGTAGCTAGTCTGTTTTCAGTAATTTTTAGAAAAAAAAAAGATTTTCTTCTCGATTATTAAAACAATCGCTATGACCGCCCGAGTCACAGTAACGCACCCCACGGAATTGTATAATTGATGCTCAGTAAGAAAAACAAATGTAGCATTTAAATAATCGATTAATGGTACATTAATCGTATAACTATTTCAGATATAATCGTTTGAACAGAGAAAGAAGGATTGTAAATGTACTTCGGAGAATAGGGTAACGTTGTAAATCGCTTGGATAACACCAATCGGTGACAGATGGTGTGGCTGTGTCAGTTCTAATACAAAAACAAAAAAAAATAGAAAAAAACGCCGAATCCCTTAAAACATCATGAACAAAAATTAAGTAAAGGAGAAATCGAGACAGCTTCGTACGTAGATTAATAATCGAAAAAAATTGACTATTTTTTGTGTTGAACCGACGTGCAAGGGAATGATTTAAAGACTGAATTTATAGAGAAAAAAGTACCAGCATTAAATCCATCTAGATCACCAATTCACGAGTACACAAAAAAATGCGAAAAAAAATGTAGGATACTATTACCATACCACGTGACACCAGATATCAATCCTTTGATACTAAGCGAAGTTGTGCATTTGTTAGTTAAGAGTAATAATAATGAAGATAACAATCCAATAGGGTAGGTAATTTAAAATTAAATTGATTAATTGAGTAAGAATAAGGGAATAATAGTTCTAGGGGCTTCTATAAAGACTGTATGCTCGCGTCCTGCCCCCAATCCTCATCAGCTGTAATTCTGCATCAATAAGATTTTTTTAGAGGACTCAGGTCCAGTGATAAGGTTCTAATTATACAAATTAAAAAGGTAAAATATTGTACAAAGTAAATTATATGAGTCAATAATTCTGCGAATCCCATTGAGGCCCCCTAAGCGACATTATCTCGATGTGATTTTCATTTCTACTCGTAATACGTCGATTTAACGATTTAATGATGATACTGCTATTGTATAGAGATGAAGAGATAAGGCGAAAGTACGTGAAAAATGATTATTGATTGGAGTTTACCAATTTGCAACTGAACAAACTAACGATAGCGAGCCTCTATTTTACTTGATTGCTCACTTTGCTCCAATAATTCTGGAGATAGGAGGGAATTTTTACGATTGACGGGCTGGTATTTGTGCAAAAAATTATTGGAGCAAAATGGGTCATCAGTTGTTGAATTGAGACTTTTCAATTTTCCAATGACACATGTCCAACATTTTCCCTTATTTTTCTGGGTATTTGAAGTAAACTCGTCTTGGAAAAATGAAGTCATCGCCTTATTTCACTTACTGTTAATCGCAGAGCTACTAAAATAATATTTCAAGGGAAATCGATAATCCAAGGAGAGTAAAATAAAATAAATAAATATACAAATAGAATTCAAAGTAGTCTAATGTGGAAAATAACTGAAAGATGCGATGCAACGACCAGTAGGAAGGCATTGGTATAGTAACAACGCCACTAATTCAGTAAACAAAACAACAGAAATTTATTTCGCCCATAGTTTAACAAATAATGGTAAAGGAAGCTTCTAAAAGGTTTTGAATAATCCATGAACACGAGAGAACGGCAGCTAAGTCGGTATTTACGATACGCGCTGTTAGTCAATAACTATCGAATAGCCTACTGCCATCAAACTTGAAACAAGAAAAAAATTTAACAGAGACGAACAAAAAATGCTCAACAACTCCTGAGATAATCGACAATGTTTTTTTTCTTATTCAAGGTCATTTTGACTGTGAGTCCAACATCTACTGGCTAACAGCCGTCTTAAAATCGTACAATTTTAATAAATAACTAAGTAAACTGAAAATTATTGAATGTTAAATTAAATGTTTGCGAAAGTCCTCATCGAGCAAGTCTTCAGTTTTTTTATGCTCAGGAAATTCAAATTTCATGTGTTCCTCATTCAGACCTTCTTTATTTATTTCTTTTTGTGTTGAAAACACGGAACAATAATTGGATAACGCAATTGAACTTCTAAACATTCACAATTAAATTAGTTTAGAGTTAAAATTAATGAATTTGGTCCAGCAGTGGTCTATGTTTTAATGGTATTCAAGAAGTTTCCATCGATTATCTGAAAAAGCACACTGGACGCTTCATTCCACCTGGCAGATGCATTCCTCAGTTGGCATGCAGCTTCCTGAACTGTCAATTCACTCTTCACCAACTGCTTATTGATTCCAGTGAGCTCTTGAATGCCAGTAGTAATAGTGTTATCAGTCAGACAGACTATATTTTCCCTGAGTGACTCGTTGCACTCGTCTGATCAGCCAAAAAACACACAACCACATTAACATTATTATTACCAATTGTGATAAATTCCTTTGATAATGAACAACTTAATTTTCTAATTTTTACATTGATTTCTAGGGCTTTAAGAATAGAAGAATTTCTTCTGATATTCACTACAACTAAAATAGATAATAAATGAGTTGATAAATTAAATAAAATAGTTTAATATTGAATGCAAAGGAAGTAAATATAGTAAGTGTCTTAATTACGAAATACGTAACAACAATTTTCTCTGATATACTGATATATTCCAGTTAATTATTACTGTCATTGATTTGATCTTGTAATGATTGTAATCAATAAAGGAACATAACATTCAATGATTACTTATTGGGGAAGGGTGGGGCAAAATGGACACTTGAAATTTTCTTCAAAGTTCATAAGTTAGAAACAAATTTATCAATTAAGCTCAGTTCATCGCAAAAGGGATGAATTTTATATTTCATGAAGAAGAGTTATTCCATTTCTTTAACAATTCAAAAAATTTTACCTCACTATTGCCCCTGTGACTTACGTAATTTTTTGTGGAGTAAACTGTTGTATTTTATGAACTTTCTGTCATTCGCTGATTTCACGTTCACGTAGGGAGGGCAGGCTGTTGCATCTATTGCCACACTTGCACTGCTCAAACTACCACCATCTGCAGAGTTCCAGAATTAAAGGATTAATAGATAATGAGTGGGTGAATAAACTATTATGCCTGAAATATTAAAGGGCATACCGTCGTCAGACTCTGTAGCTTCCCCAGATATTATTATTCCAGACGCATTAGACAGGTACTTGAAGGCCAGACCCTTGAATTGTCAAATACTTCATGACTTTTGTATTCAATTTTGTAGAGGTGAAATGGAGATGAAGAAGCGAGTGAGTTTTTAGATGTATTATTACCGTTTTTATGTCTAGGGTATCCTCGTCAGACTCCGGAGCTTCCCCTGCCACTACCACAGCCTTCTTATCCATTTTAGAAGAGGTTTTTGTCTGTATTACATGGCTCCAGTGGGTAACAATGGGAGAGTGCGTGTTGAGGGCGAATAAAATAGCTAGAGGGGATTTTTTGCTTCAAAAATTGGTCTCTGGAGTGAGTGCCTCATCACTGACCAATCCACAGTCATCAGCTGATTGTTTAGGTTATGTTATGATGCATTGGAGCTGTCAAAGTGCTCGGGAAGGTGGGGAGACTCGATAGGGAATGTTTATTGACTCTTATGGGAAAATATTGACGTTTGAAACTTTTTTATTTGTTAATCAATATTTTTCATGGTTGAGATGTGAGAATGTCGAGTTTTTCAGGTGTGACAGGCATTCATGAGCCTTTTTGCTCCGTTTTTAAAATACGTCAGTGTTTACATCACATGATTTCGATGGGTGAAAAAATATATCGAGTGCAAATGAAATAGCCAGAGCAAATTTTCTGCTACAAAAATCAAATTGAAGGGATTTCTTCATCAGTGATCAATCCACAGTCATCAGCTGATTATTTACCTTGTGTTATGATGCATTGAGCTGTGCATGTTTCGAATATCCAAAGTCATTATAAAACGGAAGTGAAATAGCTAGAAGGGATTTTCTGCTCCAAAAAGAACTTTTCGAGTGATCACTGTAGCATTCACATCATCACTGACCCATGCACACGCTGCCAGAGGGCTCCAAAACCCTCAAAATAAATAGAAATTGTGTTTTTAAAAATTCAATAACAAATATTTATCAATTCTTCTCGATTTTTTACAGAATTCATTACAACAAGAAAATACACTCATTGGAAACAGTTCCACTTCTTCATGAAAATTGTAAAGCTTGAATATACTTCATCCCCTGAGAATATCGAGCTCTTCAGGTGTGACATGCATTCGTAAATCTTTCTCTTTGATAACATCCTGAATTTGTGTGAGAAGTTGAGGTGCTATCTCAGCAGCGTCAATGTAAATGCATCTAGCCCAGGGGCATGATGCCACACTCTCGTGATAAACCTCCTCCCCCTTCTTCTCACAGAGATTTTGTTCTCGCAGTAACAGCATGTACAGTCTCCATATCAAAGGGCAGCATCGAATTTCAGGTATTCTGAAAGCGACGAGTTTGAATTAATTGGATTAGTTAGCCAGTTGGATGGAAAGGTTATGCATAATTAGGGAGTTACGTACTTTGAGAGTCTTTTGTGGAAGTGGAGCAATTTGTTGAGTGCTGCAGTTCTGGCTATGGCATCTTTTTGACAGACTTTGGAGTTGAGACGTGCTCTGCCTGATAGACACATGGAGATGGCAGGCCAGAGGCGTTTCGTTGAGATCGACGTTCGAACGCACCAGTTTGGAAGTTCACTCTACAGAAAAAATGTTTTTAAAATTTTTATTTCGTTATTTTAATGCTCAAAGTGCGTAAATCTTCAGAATTTATTTACACTTTGGGGAATTCTCTTAATCTATATATTTACATTTTTTTTCTCTCGAATAAAGTTGACACGAAATTTTCAGGTAGTTATTTTACTATTCACGAAGAATTTGTAAAGTATTTCAAGTGTGTTTGGATCTGTTTTTTTTTTAAGGGGGAAAATAATCTTTTTCGTTCTCATTCGTAATCGATTGTTCAATTAATAACAAATCATAAAGTTATTCAATTATTTTAAAGCAATTGTTTACATCTTCAAGATTTCATATTTCTTGTTTGAATCTACAACTCAAAAAAGCGTACGATTTAAATTGTGATGATTTCCCAGAACATTTCAATTTTTTGCCTCGTCTTAAATATTAAATGATCTCATTGCGCGAGTATCACTCGCGAATATTTCCCCATAAAATTCCTAGTCTCTGCGATGAAGAATAAAAATTTAAAAAAGAGAAATTAATCCTCAAAGAATTAATTTCCCATCATACCTCAACAGCGGAAGACATCGACAGCATATAGAAATTATCAGGAAATTTCTTCAAAGCACTATCCAAGCTCCCCTTCAAATCATCAAGTCTCCTCCCCCTGTGCTCCCCGGCCATCTGCTTGAATATTAATTCCCCCTCGCAGAAAACCTCCTAAAAAAAACAAAAGCTGAACAATCAAACCCCCTCATCTTCTCCCATCACATATTTACCTCCAGATATCGATTTTCCCTTGACCTCTCGATACACCTCTCAAAGAGCGTGTGAATTTCTTCGAAATCCCTCCCACCAACGTACAACAAGTAAACATAACACATGACTGCATCACAATAGAAATTAGGTTGAAAATATTTGCCTAATCCGGCATCAAGGCCACCTGGAGCGTTGATAAATTCCTCGCAAGAATCCTTCAAATACTCCTCAGTCCCGCGTATTTGTTCTCCTTCAGACGCCCCAGAAGACATCCGCGCGAAAATCTTCATGATCCTAATCTTATTATTCACGTCCCAAGTCCTCGTATCCAGCAGACACTCAACAAGAGTTCTATAAAGACTCAATACAGATCTCTGCTCGGCCACATTTTTAATATCTAATATCACATTCCCCCTGCTCTCAATAGCAGTCTCCAGAATACTCATACAATTCTCCCACCTCCCCATCTCCCTCTCAATGACAGCATATTCCCTATAAAAATCCAAGTTATTTCTATTCTCCTCCCTCTTCAAGAACTCTTTGAGAATCCCCTTCAGCTTTTTAATACTTTTCTCATTTCGTATCCCCTCGGCCTTCTGGACCCCCACCAAACTCCTCTCCAGCCTCATCCACCAGACGTATATCTGATTCTTCTCCTCGAGATTCAATCTCTCAGCGATAATTCTGAATGCATCTCGAATGAAATCCACAAAGCCCTCTTGGGCAGGGTGATACTTCAAGTACTGAGGTCCACTCGTAATTCCCCCCTCAATCAATCCCTTCAGCAAACAAATCCTCTCCCGATGTCCAGCGACCTCACCCACACAAGGAAACAGCATTGGCAAGAGGCTCTCAGCAGAGTCAATGCTCCAGTTGCACTCGTCCATCCCCAGCTCCTCGAGAATCACGTGTCTCGTGGGTAGAAGGGGAACCTTAAGTGCCAGAAGTGCGTAAATACCCAGTCTAAAATTAGACCCTGTTGACAATAACGGATGGACGAATTCAGTGACGTCTTCGGGGGAGATAAACCTGTGGGAGTCACCAATTAGCTCCACATCTTCCTTCTGAACAGTCGTCCAGTGGCAATTCTCCCTGAGGAGCTCCACTCGAAGCCACAATTGATTTAGAGGCAGTTGAGACGTCAGAATGACCTCCTCCATTCCAATCAGCTTCTTCTCGTCGATCGAACCCTTGAAATTCTTCGAATCCCTGGTTACTCCCAGGTTCAGGGTCAAGAGCATCCTCAGGGTCTCCCACATCTGCTCCCAGAGACCTGCATGCCTCAGGAATATCAGACACTGGTACAGCATCTGGAGCAAATTGCTGTCGTAGGATTGTGGAGTGGATCTGGACCACAAGTGCAGGCTTGCGAAGCAGTTCGAGTATAAAGCGAGGACTTTGGGGGCTGTGCAGAGGGCGATTGACGACCTCGTGGCGGTTATCAGGGCTTGCCAGAGTATCAGGTTCCCAGGATCCTTCGAGATGAGGAGCTCCAGCTGGGAGGAGTACTGGTCTGCTGGGGATAATTCACTCAGAAAGTTCAGTTTGCACTTGAGGAGAAGGGGAGAGTCTGGATTCCCCTCCAACGCCTTCTCCATTATCGCCAGTTTCCTCTGGTACTTCACCGTCTCTGCTTTTGTGCTGTGAGGGGACACCTCGAAATTCTGGTCTCGGTCCTCGAAGTTTATGTATTGGAGCCAGAGGTCGATGTTCTGAGGGTCTTCCGACAGCTGCTCATTGAACTCCTTGATCTTCAGCTTCGTTTCTTCCTCTTTGGTTTGCTGGAGAGTGCTGAGGAACTCTGGGGACAGCTGGGGATCATTCTGAGGGGGTGGAGCCTCGCTTTTCAATTTTTTGGTGGATTTTTTAGCTGCTTCGGGGGACAGAGCGAAATATCGACGCAACAGCTGCTTTTTCTTGTATTTGAGGGACACGAAGCCCAGGGTTTTGTAGGAGCGAGTGTACAGGGGTCTCGCTCGTGCACACAGCGTGTCTACCCTCAAGTTTCCCTTGTCCCTGACTCTGTCATCGAAGTAGACGTTCTCAACCACTAGCTCGTATTTAATTTTCGGTTTTGCTTCCTTACTCGACTTGTGTTTCTTGGATTTCTTGGGTTTCTTTGCGGGAGGGGGGGAGTAATGGTGAAGCTCCTCGATGTCTGAATCCAGAGGAATCACTGGTGCTGCTTTTTCCTCGGGGATTTCGAACAACTCGTCGTCTGAGGAGTCAGAGGAAATCGATATTACTCGAGACCCGGGGATGATCTCCGGTTGGAAGCTCGAGTTCTTCAACCAGATTGCGTCATTTCGACTGTCGACAATTTCAACCTCTGAGGATTGGGAGGGAGCAGTGAGGTCGTAGGCCGGAAACAACGACATTTTAATGAGTAATGAGTCTAGTGCTTAGTGGGGAAATTGATTCACTCTTTTCTGGGAATTGAAAAACATCACTGAGGGTTTATTTACGTTCTGTCGTAGTGATGACGTTTGTAACCTCATTGCGGTTTTAAAAGTCGCATGGGTAATGAGTAATGATTAGTCACTATCAGCGATAAAAAACAGATATTTTATGCACACCACTTCATTTAGAAAAATTCATTCACTAATGCAATGGAGTTAAATTCTTTCTTTGGAATTTCGTGCTAGTTCTTTACGTTCTTTATTACATGCCGGAGCCATTTTTATTTTCAAAATTAGTTTGTGGGACAGTTGCATGGCGGCGCTGCAGTCTGTTGCAGTGGCTCCGCTGGACGAACGGTTCAAATTGACGGAACTACTAAAGTATAAACAAGAATCAAACGGAAGAACAATCGGGGAAGCTGGAAAAGGCGTCTTGATTCGCGTTTTTCTCAAAAAGTTCTTCTGAATTAGGCAATTTAGAGGTGAAACGGGGTCTTCTTCTCAGGTCAGTAATGAAAAAGAGATACTTTATTCACACGAACGCCGGGAATGTCGGGAAAATCGGGTAAGGGCACGGTTTTGATCCTCCTCGGAGATTTTGTCATGAAGATTCACTGAAAATAGCAAATCGAACAAAGGAGAAAGATGTCGGAAGGGGGTATTGTAGGGAATGCGTAGGGTGGTAAGGTTATGCATTCTTTAATGTCGACAAAGTGACGCTCGTGAGAATGATCGAAAAAAACCGAGAACAAAGAACCGGAATACTGACAAAACAACACGAGAAGCTGGAAATCCTCGATTTTGTCTTTCGGTTTTTTTCACAATCAGAGGAATTTCCAAAGTAAAGAATGCAGAACAGTTCAAGAGGAGGTTATTCTTGTTGTAAATATGCGAAGTAGAAAAGCAGACATATCGTATTGTTAACACACTGAACCCCACGAGAGTGAAACTGGGAAGATAGGTAAGAATACATTGGGATAACACAGGATCAACTTTCAGATCGGGAAAGGGTTGGATTGAGGTTTTTTTGTCATGAATAATTGGCAAGTGAAGTAGTTTTCAACTGATATTAGGTCGCCTCCTCTGACTATGGAAGAAAAAGATCATTTTTGATTGAGTAGTTTTACATCGTGTGACGAATTTTGACGGAAAATTGCAGATAAAATAATGTAGATCTGTTTGAGAGGGGGATTTAGGATTGATTTCGGGTTTTGGTTTTTCTCGTAATGAATGAAATGTGTTAATTAGAGTAGTTTCGATGACTTGAAGACCATTTTTTATTGAAACGTTGGGAAACTTGATAAAGTGATGTGATAGACATTCAGTGAAATATGTTAATTAATTAAAGCAGTTCAGATGACTTAAAAATTACTTTTTATCGACGCAAACCTCAGAGAACTTGAAAAACTGATGCGATGAACATTCAGTAAAAATTACAAATAAAAAAATCTAGAACCGTTCAAGAAAAGATTTGGAGAGTAATTTTGGTTCTTCTCACAATCAGTGAAAAGTCAATTAATTAAAGCAGTTTAGATGACTTGACAAATTTTTATCGATGCAAACGTGAGAGAACTTGAAACAATGCTGTGATGAACATTCAGTGAAAATTACAAATAAAAAAATCTAGAACCATTCAAGAAAAGATTTTGAGATTAATTTTGGTTGTTTTCACAATCAATAAAATATCTCAATTAATTAAAACAGTTTAGATGGTCTAAAGAGTAATTTTTATTAATGCAAACGATACAGAAATTGGAAAAGTGATGTGATGAACATTCAGTGAAAATTACAAATAAAACAATCTAAAATGTTCAAGAAAAGGTTTTGAAATAGATTTTGGTTCTTCTGACAATCAGTGAAATGTGTCAATTAATTAAAGCGGTTTAGATGGCTTGAAGACTAATTTTTATTGATGCAACCTCAGAGAACTTGAAAAAATGATCTGAAGAACATTCAAGGAAAATTACAAAGAAAACATTCTAGAATCGTTCAAGAACAGATTTTGAAATCAGTTTCGGTTCTTTTGCAAATCAGTGAAATGTGTGAATTAATTGAAGCGGTTCAGATGGCTTGAAGACTAATTTTTACTAATGCAAACGATAGAAAACTTGGAAAAGTGATGTGATGAACATTCAGTAAACTTACAAATAAAAAAAACGAACCATTTAAGAAAAGTTTTAGCGATTGATTTCGGTTCGTCTCACAATCAGGGAAAGTGTCAATTACTTAAAGCAGTTTGGATAACTTAAAGACTAATTTTTTTCAATGCAAACGACAGAAAACTTGGAAAAGTGATGTGATGAACATTCAGTGAAAATTCCAAATAAAACAATCTACAATCGTTCAAAAAAATATTTAGAGGTTGATTTCGGTTCTTTTTACAATTAGTGAAAAGTGACAACTAATTAAAGCAGTTTAGATGACGTGAAGACTAATTTTTATTGATAAAAACACCGGGAAACATGAAAAGTCCTATAACTTCACCTGTTCTGATCCTTGTGTCACATCCAATGATGAATTTCAAGTGAAAATGACAAATCAATCAATGCCAGTTCAAGAGTGATATTCTTACTGTAAACAAGTGAAGTGGAAAAGTGCATACGTACCGTGATGTCAACAGGTCACTGCTCGTGACCCCATTACTTCAGAATATTTACACATGAAATAACATCGCTGAGGCTGCTGCGTAACAGATGTTCTTACACGGTATATTGTTGTACAATCTCAGGACTCAAGGTCAGAATATTGATTCATTATTCATTTATTTATTCATAATTTATTCACTGGAATATTACACTCAATTGCTACATGAATAGTACGGTTTTACTGGCGGAACGGCAGTGAATTCAGGGAGAATTTATTCCAGCAATTGAGGCCTCTCGAAGTGTTCGAACATCTCTCACGAATTTCACACGCTTTCAGAATTGATTCCACTGCCGTTCGTTGTTTTACAATCGAATATATCTTTGATACCACCACTAATTTCATAATATTTCGTAGAAAATATATTAATGCTCATTCACACTCGTATCTTATGAGAAACATTTATATGAAGTGTCCATAATGTCACTGACATTGTAAAACATTTGAGACATTCCGCGGTAATTAATTTTCCATAGATATTCATTCTAAATTTACTGTGGGTAATGAAACCAAATTATACTGCATTGAAAGCCGGCTGAATTGACATGGAATGTCTCATTCTCATCGTGGAATTCACAACTTGAGTAATTAAAAATGCGCAATTACTCAAAACCTCTTGTGCGGAAAATTTCAATGAACATTCATTCCATAATTTTATGTTCACGAGATAAATGCTGCTCTAGTTTCATAAAATATTACAATATATTTCTCTAAATGGCGTACATCGAGTACTCGCCCTTTAACGTTTTCCACAGAAGGTATTCTCTTCAAAAATAGTTATAAACTACTGAGTGCACCCAATCGATGCTTCAATTCATGGACAGCTTTATTTTTTTTCCATCACCTTGATTCTAGATATGAGGAAAAAATGGGAAAAATAGGGTCATGAATGAGGTGCGCTGTCGATGAAACTATTTATTTTACTCTCGGGTTTTTCCGTGAAAATCCAAGGATCTTAATTAATCTTCCATCAGAATTTTCAGAGAGTAGCGTGAAATCATCAATCGACAGGCACACACACGTGACTGATTTTTTGTTGAGAAGAACTGAGGGTACAAAAGAATGACTGAGTCATTCACAATTTTTTAGAAATCCTTGGCTCATGAATAAAAATCATCTCGTATTATTTTCTTCATTGTTCGCTGTATTGAGACGCCGTCAACGCACTAATGCAGGGTGAAAGCATAGCTCATCCCGAAGGCTGCGTATAGCATGAATTATCCTCCCCCCTCTCCCTCTTTCTGTGTACACTCAAGAGTACAAAAAGCCAGCAGCCGTGTGTCACACTTCGCTTATTACCCACTTGACGCTCTGAGATTAAAGAAAACACTGACAATACCACTCGGTTTCATTGACACAAACACGTACACTTTTAATCGTTGACAATCGTAATCATCCACAGACGGCAAATTATCAACACAAATGGGGATGAAGAAATTATTGTGAGGAATTGCAGAAGAATCTCATTGAGATTTTCATTTTTTCATATATCCAGAGAATTCTAGCGAATCAGATAATATTCATGGTCTTGACATGAAAAAAAAGATTCCCATTCTTGCAACTAATTATACAATCGTTTTTTCTAACATTTCTATTCAATGGTTTTAGTGTTTGGACAAAAGTGTGAGACAGGATCAACAGATTTGGGATAGCAATTTTTTATGACGTTTCCGGGACACTTATCGGAAATTTCTGTCACGTTCTGCTGAAATTGCAGGGAATTTTGTCATTGAAAATCCACAGTTTGATAAAAAAATCAATGAAAACTTCAAATTTTAGGTCAATTATTTAATGAAAATTTATAGAAGTCATGAAAATATGTTCTTGAATTTTTAGTTGATTTAAAATTCAGCGTAAATTTGATTGGAGATTCGCGGGAGTTGGGGAATTCTCGATGAAATTTAAAATTTCATGATTGACATCGAATTTAATCTCGCTCTCCTAAAAATGACAATTAAACTGTCCATAAAAATTTGAAAAAAAAAATTAATAAAAAACTTTTACTGGATTTCCGGTATATTTTTTGGAAATTTTTTATAAAAAGTAACAGTTCCATATAAATTTTAAGGAGTTTCATAATCGAAACGTGAAGTTCACTTTAATTATTCCATGAAAAATAATAAAAATTCAAGTGAAAATTCAAGTAAATTGTGGCATTCTCATCTTCCTACTGCTAAAAAATTTGAAATTCCATTGAATTTCCAGTAAAATTTGAAATTTAATTATTTTTTCTCTCCCAAATGGACTTCAATGTCGCTTTCCTGAAAATTACTTTTAAAAAGTCCACGCAATTTCAATCTTATTCTAACAGCGTAGGAGATTCTGGTCAGGTACACTCTCCTAATTTTAATCATTCAAACTTGCGTGACATGAGCACATGGAAAACCACCAGTGCTGTTTATTTTCGTGACGCTAGACATTAGAATAATTTAGAACGTGCGGTTCTTCTGGGGTCTGGCTCGAGTAACGCAATGATATTATTTCGTACGCGTTTTGTGCACACCTCAAAACTGGGACAAGATCCATTGTGCGTTCTCGTCCCGGCTGCGTGCATCGTGCTACGAAAGCACGTGCAAACAATAGTGGGAATATACTGGACAGTATTTTTTTTATCATCTTGTTTTTATTTCCCTCGCGTTTCTCAATGTGTGTCTCTGCCCTTTATGGTCCAATGTGTAACGTAGCTATTGTAGCTACTGTAGTTTACGGTAAATTAATTACAACTTATAATAGACATCGTTGGTGCGTTTAATCTCTAGGTGTGACTGAGGGAAAGAGTAATCGAAAGTAATTACTTGTTGACAACGGAGAGTTATTCTATATTGTGACAGCAGAGGTGCATTTCACTCGTTTAAAATTTCAAGTTTCTGATCCGGAAAAAAAATCGCGGTTAATTTTTGGGAAATTATCCACATTGCTAACGATAAAAAACGCCCATCGAGGACAATATTTAATGCTTAACATTCGATAAAGAGAGGAAATTTGTTGTTTTTTCCCTTTCAATTACTCTTTACGGATTGAATAGACCGACGTTATGAAGTACCTCGCAAATTCTTGAAGCTTTTAACAAGTCTAATTAAGAAGAAAGTTTCGTAGATCGCTTTTTATCATATGGATTTTATTTCCCTCGTGTTTCTCAATGTGTATCGCTGCACTTCATGGTAAAATATGGATCGTAGCTATTGAGCTTCGATATATCAATTGTCGTTCACGGTAAATTAATTACGACTTATAATAGACATCGTTGGTGCGTTTAATCTCTAGGTGTGACTGAGGGAAAGAGTAATCGAAAGTAATTAATTGTTGACAACAGAGAGTTATTCTATATTGTGACAGTAGAGATGCATTTCACTCGTTTAAAATTTCAAGTTTCTTTCTGATAACTGGGAAATTGTCCACATTGCTAACGATAAAAACTGCTCATCGAGGGCAATACGAGTATTGCCATCGAATGCTTACGTTCGATAAAGAGAGGAAATTATTGTTCTTTTTTCTTTCAATTACCCTTTAGGGACTGAATAGCCCGAAGTTATGAAGTACCTCGCACTGTTAGGAAAATTACTCTTGAAATTTCAAGCGAAAAACCTCAAATTTTTTAACAACGACTAATTAACGAGAAATTTCCACAGATATTGTTATTGACAAAGTAGTTGATTGTTGGAATATCCAACGAGCTTCCCATTTTCACGTCTATACAACAATTAGAGGGATTGAAAATTGGATTAAATTCCAAATCCAGCGATTACTTTATTTTCAAAAAATTTCCAACAGTGCGGAGAACCGTTTATTATTCCATAAAAATTTATAGCTCTGTGCATATTTGGACAATGAGTGACGGGTAATGGGGCGCTTTCAAGAGATACCATATAGGCAAATTGGGAGAATTCCCGTCGTGAAATGATGGAAAATGCTTCTTTGTTCTAAACCCTCTCAAGAAATTAATCCTTCCATTTCCGATGAGAATCCCACTCTCATTCTTCACTTTCCCAGGATAAAATGGCGGAAAAAACTTCACTTACTTCAATCGAAACCCGGAATTTTCCTACATGTACCCCACCGCCCCCCCATCCTCACAACCCTCGAAGAAACATTTGCATAAAACTGCAAAAACTATCGACCATTATTCTCGTACTCATGTCCACGGGAACCCTTAATACCTATTTAAAGCTAGAACCGAAGTGCCTCGATTGTTCAACACCCATCCCACATAGCAACTAAAATCTTAAACATCTACTGAACAGCAATCGCGAGGATGAAGAAGATGAATGTGCTAATAGCCACGGGCACCCGATCATCAGCGCCGGCGATGATGACCGGTAACTCCGGCGCCGTGCCATTCATGTGATACTGATAGCTGAAATTATCAATGACCAACCGCGATATCCTGTAATTAACCTGTCTGGGATCGATCTTATTGTGCATGAAGTTGTGAAGTGCATTGGTGGTGCACCAGAGGTACCCATTGTCATCGATAGCGAAGCTGTCGGGCCACTGCATCCTCACGTGATCCCTCCCGATGATTCTCTGGCCAGTTGTGAAGGAGACGTCCCTCTCCGAGTCCCAGAGGGCGACAGCGTCATCAGCGAGAAGACCAAAATACAGAGTTCCATTGGCTGACATCATCATCCCGTCAGTCTGCGAGCTCTTTCTCCCGACTTCCCGAATGTACCTGTCGATATTCGTGACGCCTTCCTCTTTCAATGCAACGGTATTCACTGAGTAAAGGTGATAAGACGACAGCGGACAGTAGTAGACGTATCTCTCGTAGGCGTCTAGCGGGGACAGAGCGATGCCATCGATAGGAATTCCCTTGATGACCCTCTCATCACCGATGAAGAAGTCCTCAGCTTCCTTCTGCTTCTTCATGGAGTCGTGCCTAACTTTCCACGATCTGTTCTTCTCCAGGGAGAAGACAATGATCCCGGGATCGCGGTCATTTGTATCGGAGATGTAGGCGAATCCTCCGTCAGTGCTGTCAAGAACAATGTCATTGAGGTAGGATTCATTGTGGGGAGTGACACTCTCCGGGAATGGAATGTTCCGCAAGACGGCTCCGTTGTTCTCCAGATCCAGGATAACCAAACGAGGATTGCATCTTGCTTTGGGCTCGGTGGTCATCGTGGCTGTTCTCCCAGTGTCCAGGACCCACATGCGTCCCAGGGGATCGATCTCCATACTCTGGACAAATTGAAATGCCCGGCAATCCCCCACTGTTTGCATCTCCCAGGTCGGGTATGCTTGGAGTTTCGGTGGAATTTCCTTCATTATTAGCTCCGAGGGTATCACACCCAGGGTTACTGGCACACCTGGCTTCCATCTGGGCACTGTTAGGTACATCATACCTTTCCATACCTTGATACCCGCGATCGCGTTGTTCACTGGGACGTAATCGTTTCTATCGAACACTTGAGTTTTTATTTCGTCCGAGGGCCACGCGATTTCTACTATCTTCCAGCGGAACCTCTCGCCGAACTGGTGCGCCGCGGCTGTCGCTATCGCCAGGTATGCCAGCAAAATTTGTGCCTTCATCAGCATTTTTAGAGAATTTTAGAAGCTACCGGGAGACGATTGAGGTGGAATCGGACACTTGAGATGAGATCGATATTAATGTTCACTTCGGGACCCACTGACACTTTTTATTTTGCTGTTTTGGAATTTATATGGGAGTTCGTTGGCAATAAAAACAGAAGCCGGAGACCGTTCCGCGCTATTCTTAACCGCGTGATCTTATTCAACCGCTTCACCGGGCTTGCGCCGACAATTCCGGTACCTCGTTTGTATGGGTTTAAATCCAGAAGTTAGATTTTTCGCGTTAGACCAGTTTAGATAGACGGTCCATAGCGTCGAACGTATAGGTTTTGACTGACGGCGGCGGGAAGTGTGCACCCAACGAGGCGTCGTTTCCCCCACACGTTCAACTACTCAGCAATTCCCCCTTCGTCACCCTACTCCGGTCTTCCCTCTTCGTTCAACGCATCTCAATGTTTTGGGTTTTGTGGATGCTTTTCGAAAAATTTTGGAATTCAAGGAGACAGGTGACATTTTTCGATGAAATTTCTGATACAATTATTGAAAATTTTTATCAAGTGGTAGTTCCACTGAAATGTCAAGGTATTTTGTTTTTGAAAATTTAAAATTTTATGGAAAAAGCATTGAGACGGGAAACTTTAGGTCCATTATTTTGTGAAAATCAATGGAAATCACGTACATTTTTTCAATTTAATGAAAATTATGTAGAATTAGATATTGAAGGTTTATGGTTTACTGCACTGGTAGAACCGTAAATAAACCCGATTCCGTAAGGTGGAATCGTTCCACCTTTTCTATCAGTGTGCTAAAAAATTTGAAATTTCATTGGATTTTCAGGGAAATTTGAAATTTTATAATTTTTTTCCCCTAAATCCGACTATAAATGTCATTTTTGTGAAAATGACTAGAAAACTCTCTTTAATAATCCGCATGGAATTGAACAATCCATTCAATTGAACTTTCAATAATTTTTATAATTGTATTGAATATTCCAGAAATCAACTATTTCTCAATCAACATCTATGGAAATTCCATGTTAACCAGTCATTGTTAAATTTTCAAGATTTCTTTTACTGATTCGGGGTTTCATTTCCACTTATTTAGGAACTTTCTGCAATTTCTTAATATTTGAGACACTGTTATTCCCCGTAAATCGAGAGATTTCGGGGTCAAGTTGCTGCGGACGATTTCACTTTTCGTTTCACTTGACTTAAGTTTATGAAAAAAGAAACCTTTTGCGATTATTTTCCACCTCTTTTTTTATTTGTCTATACTAAATAGATGAGACGGGTGCGGCATCTGCTCAATTATCCGTCCGCCGGGGATTATTCTAAGGGATTGAAAAGAGGAGAAAGGAGAACTCAACCTGTGTGATTCAAAGAGATCCGCACAAAGAGATTCCCAGTCTCTTTCATTTCATCGGGTTTCGTTGTCTATTTCTCCCGTGTATAAAGGGTGCAATGGGATGGCACATGATATGGGTCGGGTTGCACAGAAGAACTATAAAAAATGCGTGATAAATATCGTTGATGGTTATCTGAATGGAAATAGATTAAATAAAACACTAGTTTCATTAGGAAACCGATAAACCTCGTTCATCCACGCACTCCTCTGCAACGTTGACTGCTCAATCATGACTTTTTTCTCATGTCCATGTGTTTGGCAAGAACTGAGAGGAATGAACCCGCACCGTGGAACTGTGCCAGGGCGTTTGGTGGCCTTCGCGACCCTTTCAGCAATGTAAACAACATCGGATGAGTCCTGAGTAATTTTATTACGCGGATTGTACACACGGGAGAATTATTGAGATGAAATTTACGGCGCAATTTATGATGATTGAACTCTCCCTCTCTCTCCCTCTGTTTATGCAGACTCTCCTTCATCACTGGTGGAGTTAAAATCAATGAGGAACAAAAAGTCAATAAATATTGCACTGAAGCCAGACGAATAGCGAAACAAGTGGGAAATTGCTCTTGTATTGCATATAGAATAGTTATTTTTGCACGTCATTTCCTTTCATCATGTATAAGTTATTGTTTATCACATTTGAAGGAACCACCAGAAAGCTCACTTTCAGGGAAATTCATGAAAAATTCGAAATTTTCAACAACCATTATAAAAATCAAATCAACCAATATAGCGTAATCATCTTTTAACTTCGACTTCGTGACATCAAAACAAACATTTCAAGCTATAATTGAAATCATTTGAAGAATAATATTCCAAGATATCCCCGAAATTCTGGTCTTCAAAAAATACAAAATTTTTGAAAATTTTCAAATAAATGAACATAAAGATTATTGCCATCGCCTTAATATTCAAACTCGTCATCAAACCATTCACTCATTCATTCATTCATTCAATCAATTCAGAAAATTTTTTTTAGTTATCGCGACGCAACCGATTTTCGAAAAGATTCGAAAGTTAAAAAAACTAATCGATGAATTAAATTGTAATCAATGGCGATTGATAGGGCTCAATAATGCCAACATTTGAAATAAAAAAAGATTCAATTTCATCCATTCATTAACGAATAATTGAAGCAAATTTTGTTACATACGTACACACGTACCCGCACACGTAGGGACGAGGTCTAAAAATTGGGTTTTCGGACTTTTTGGGTCATACTGGGCCGATATAATAAAAAATCTAAAATTTAGAATTGAAGGATTAGGGGAGGGTAGGGTAAAACGGACCACTGACAGAAAATTGATAATTTTTGTTTTTGCCTCCGAATGGAGCAAATTCGAAGTCATTTGTGGTTTGAGGTGATTAGAAAATCTGATCAGATTGCGATTCAACGACACTTGTTGTCTATAAAAGCCCTGTGACGGTTACGATCCAAGAAACTCACTTTTAATTCAACACATTCAGTGTTCCTGATTTGAAGGAAAGAAAAAAATCAACAATTAACAATTTTCTGTCAATGGTCCGCTTTGCCCTACCCTCCCCTACAAAGCTTCCATTCGAACGCAACGAAAATTTCTTCGCGTCGTCACGCGCTCGCTAATATAAAATAAAAGTATTGGCGAGGTAATAGTTATGCATGAGTCAGTGGGTTGGCTACTGCAAGAATGGATATTTGCTATGTGTTACATCAATGACAAAATGACGCAATGTTTTTTATTTTCCGTCTGGACTAATGTGTGTAAACGGAATTCATTACATATTTTTTGTTACGAGTTAGTTATATAATTCCATTTTTGTCGCTGGTTGGATATGTCATGCGGTGAGCGATATTTCTGATGGCAATTTCCTCGTGACGAATTCACGGACGTGGGTTTTATTTATACTGAAGATGTTCGAGGGCTTCATTCCACTCGAGGGAGTGACTCCCTTGACCCATGATTTTTTTTTCTAACCCACGCACTTCATGGCTCTTGAGGTGGCGCTGACCTTGAATAGGGATGTCATTAGCAAGTGAATAGGGGCTGTGACAATGCTGGAGTGGAGGAATGTTTTTCGGGACGTGATAATCTCTCTAGTGGATAAATGAGATGTCGTGACGCTTGCAGTCACAATGTTGGGGCGATTTTCAATTTGGAATAGTATAAATAGAATATTCCCCTCTGTGTCTTCTAGAGCTTTGATTTTCCGTTGCGATTTCTCTATTCCCGTGCCCCCCGGACATCTTTTTTTGTTGCCATTTGTTTTTCATTGATAGTCGAGTACATCCAGAAAGAGGATTCATTTGAATTTTTTTTATTCGTTTGTTTAGATCAAATGAACTCGCAGTGAAAGGTTTGCTCAATGTTGGAATTGGTTTTCATCCGTTTTTATTTTCTTCAAATAAATAATTTTTTTTAATAAAAAAATTTTTCCTTGATCCAAATAGAGACTTTATTAGTTACAACCAATTTAGTAACATGGAATGTTTTTTTTTCATATAATTAACATATTTTCAGTGGAATAACAAATAAGTTCACCCATTTCCGAGGATAATATTGTTGAAATGAATCGAAAAATTGAAAAAACAAGTTTTATTTGATTTAAATGCGTCATGTTTTGTGGACTTCAACAATTGCAACATTAATTTCATGGAAAAGTAGTTAAAATATTTAATAATGATCAATTCATATGGAATATTCAATCTAAAATTATCTTACAGTACAATTATTGGAAAGTGAATTTATCACGTTTAAATATTGAACACTCAAATTCCCATGAATATCACCTATTCAGGAAAATCCTTGGACCCTGAAATTACTCATCACCTCGATTACGGTGAATTGACACAACCCTGAAACTGAAAGCCTCGACATTCATCTCAAATTCCTAAAAAAACCACAAAACAGTGACCACAACACAGAGCAGGTTTCGATGACGCAGTGAAAAAATTCAGTAGTGACTTGCGTAGGAGTTTTTACACTGACTCCATTTATCCTCCAATTAGCCAATAAGAGATGGGGTATTTCTAGTTCTAGTGCGTGCGCCGGCCGTTTTCATGGGAAAAAGTCACACATTCTCTCACGTATATGCCGTAAAATTCACTGTACGACGTAATGAGTCAGTTGATTCGAGCGGTAGAATTGAAATAAGATGAATTCTGAAAAGAGAGAATTTAGTTGACCCAATTCTACTGAAAATTACGAGTTTATCGTTGACCTTCTGAACTGGCTAGAAATACCTTGAGTCGAATAAATTCGTTTTTATAAGGGGAAAACGTGAAGTAATAGAAAATTCATCTAGAAATTTCAAGAAAAACATTAGGGAGGCTTAACGGCGACTAATTTTTACGAAGGAATCAGTTACTTTTGTGAATATGCAATACAAGTAGAATTTTCAGGTTTATACGGCAAAAAAATTGATGAAATAATGAACATTGAGGAGTATATCCTGTTCTGAATTCTCAATTTCCAGGAATTTCACGAAATTTCGTATTTGAAAATCCGCAGTTGGTCACCAAAATAATTAAAACGGTAAATTTCAGTTCAATTATTTAATGAGAATGAATAACAACTAAGAAAATTCTGTGTAATTTTGTGCTGACTACTCGTGTTTCGTTCGGAAATTTAAATATATCGAGGAATTCTCGTCTTCTCCCTGCTAAAAAATTCGGAATTCCACTGAATTCTCAGTGAAATTTGAAATTTCAGGGTTTTCCTCCCTAAATTCAATTTAACGTCACTCCTGAAAATTACTACTGATTTGTCCATGACATTTAATTCTTTTTCTGAAACATGAGAAACGCAAATTTGGTGAATTTTCAAGTCATTCCATTACCAATTTAACGATAGATTGAATTTAGATTCACACCGCGAAGAACTCATCCAATTCTTATTTAAATTTCGGAAAATTCTAACAGTGTGATGATGAGACGG